AATGCCAGTTAATATCTGGAGAAGACTGATGCTCAGAAATATACAGCTTGTCCTGGATGCCACCTTCAAAGCAACAAGCCCCATCTGTTTTTGGAAGTTGAGCAGAGATGGGCTTGTTTAATATTTGAAGCAACATCCATGTAGGAGTAAGAAAGAATCTCGCCTAGAGGACAGAGTGGATAAAATTTAATGTTTTTTTTTTAAAAATCAAATTGATTTAAATCATGATTTAAATTTAAAAATCTTTTTGAAAATTTAAATCATCACCAAAATCCAGTTTATTGATTTAAATCATGATTTAAATTGTGATCAAGTCCACCCTGCTGGAAGAGTCAACAATACTGGGCTTGGTAGTTGAAGGGTGTGAGACAGAAAAGGGCAGCTTCTTATGCTCCTGTGAGCAAACAAATATATTTGCATAGGATTTTTTTGTTTGTTGTTACTATTTTTCAGAAATATGAAGATTTTTATTTTATTTTATTTTTGCACCATAATGCACAGTATCCCACAGCCAAGGTGACCAGCGGGATATTCAGAGACTTACTGTTCAAAAAAAAAACCCTTCATATTTTGATTGTTACTAAACAATTGGCTGTCAGAAGATCTTACTGGTCCATTGCAAATCAATATTTATAATATCCTGTCTGTCTTTACTTATCTCTCAGCCATTTGCTAGTCAAAATAAAAAGCCCTGCCAAACAAATGAAACTTTGGAGAACCTCTTCTGTGCAGAAGAAATGGCACCAGATTAGCTGGATCACTGGCTTGACTTGGACTATATACATAGATTATTTTATTAAAGCCATAGGCGAAAGGCCGGACTGGAGGAATCTCAAACTGGAATTAAGATTGCCGGAAGAAATATCAACAACCTCAGATATGCAGATGATACCACTCTGAAGGCAGAAAGTGAGGAGGAATTAAAGAACCTCTTAATGAGGGTGAAAGAGGAGAGTGCCAAAAATGGTCTGAAGCTCAACATCAAAAAAACTAAGATCATGGCCACTGGTCCCATCACCTCCCGGGAAATCAAAGGGGAAGATATGGAGCCAGGGACAGATTTTACTTCCTTGGGTTCCATGATCACTGCAGAGGGTGACAGCAGCTATGAAATTAAAAGACACCTGCTTCTTGGGAGGAAAGCGATGACAAACCTAGACAGCATCTTTAAAAGCATAGACATCACCTTGTGACAAAGGTCCGCATAGTCAAAGCTATGGTTTTTCCAGTAGTGATGTATGGAAGTGAGAGCTGGGCCATAAAGAAGGCTGACCGCCGAAGAATCGATGCTTTTGAATTGTGGTGCTGGAGGGAGACTCTTGAGAGTCCCCTGGACTGCAAGGAGAACAAACCAATTCATTTTGAAAGAAATCAACCCTGAGTGCTCACTGGAAGGACAGATCCTGAAGCTGAGGCTCCAATACTTTGGCCATCTCATGAGAAGAGAAGACTCCCTGGAAAAGACCCTGATGTTAGGAAAGTGTGAGGGCAAGAGGAGAAGGGGACGACAGAGGACGAGGTGGTTGGACAGGGTCACTGAAGCAACTAACATGAATCTGACCAAAGTCCAGGAGGCAGTGGAAGACAGGAGGGCCTGGTGTGCTCTGGTCCATGGGGTCACGGAGAACTGGACATGACTTAACGTCTAAACAGTAACAATATTCATAGAGCCTTCACAGGTGAAACACACCAGAGAAGCCAGATGGAGAAACAGAAATGTAGTACTTCTAACTGGAGGTGGGGTTCTCCAAGGTTCCAGTTGTTTGACCAGCTGACCCGTGTGCTGTTACTGCCCAGGGACCGCTAACTGACCTTGAGAAACCTCAAGATACAGTCATGTGAAAAAGAAAGTACACCCTCTTTGAATTCTATGGTTTTATGTATCAAGACATAATAAAAACCATCTGGTCCTTAGCAGGTCTGAGAATTAGGTAAATACAACCTCAGATGAACAACAACACTTGACATATTGCAGCACGCCATCATTTATTTCACAAAAGTGACGCCAACATGGAGAAGCCATTGTGAAAAATGGAAGTACACCCTAAGAATTAAGAGGCTAAAGAGCAGCCAGGTGCTGCTAACCAAATGCCTTTGAGGAGCTGATCATCAGCAACTGTAACCACCTCTACAAAAGCCAAAGTTTTAGCAGTTTGCTGGTCTGGAGCATTCAGGTGTGTGTTAACATAATGCCAAGGTGGAAACATATCAGCAATAATTGTAGAGAAACAATTGTTGCTGCCCGTCAGTCTGGGAAGGCTTATGATTAGAGATGGAGGTATTTGTATTCGTCGCTGCTGTGGATGCCGCGATTCTTCCAGTGGCTCTGCAGATTGTGATCTGCGAGCCACTCTTCATCCTTGCCGTGATGCTTGTCCTCCTGCCTGGAGTGGCTAGCCAATTGCAATCCATGAAGCCAGAAGGCCCTCGTTATCACCACCTGTGCAGGAATATTCATATACGAATACCCCCATGTCTAGTTATGATGATCCATAGGGTTCCTTCCAGCTCTGCAGTTCTATGATGGTGGTGATAATAATAAGGCCTTTTCCAAATAATTTAAAGTCCACCATTCTACTCTGAGGAAGATTAGTCACAAGTGGAAAATATTCCAGACAATTGCTAATCTTTTCAGGAATAGACGTCAAAGCGAATTTACCCCAAGGCCGGACTGTGCAATGGTCAAAGAAATTGCAAAACCCCCAAGTGTTACATCTCAGACTCTACAGGCCTCAGTTAGCATGTTAAATGTTAAAGTTCATGACAGAACAATTAGAAAAAGACTGAACATGTATGGTTTGTTTGGAACGGTTGCCAGGAGAAAGCCTCTTCTCTCTAAAAAAAAAAGGTAGCACAGTTTAGGTTTGCAAAATTGCATCTGGATAAATCACAAGACTTCTGGAGCAATGTCCTTTGGACAGATAACGCTAAAGTGGAGATGTTTGGCCATAATGCACAGTACCACGTTTGGTGAAAACCAAACTCATCATGTCAACACAAACACCCCATAACAACTGCCAAGCGTGGTGGTGGAGGGGTGATGATTTGGTCTTGTTTTGCAGCCGCAGGACCTGGACTCAACCCAATAGAAATGTTATGGCAGGACCTTCAGAGAGCTGTGCATAAACAAATGCCTGAAAACCTCAATGAACTGAAGCAATGTTGCAAAGAAGATTCCTTCACAAGGATGTGAGGGACTGATAAAGTCATAGGGAAAATGATTATTTCAAGTTTTTGCTGCTAAAGGTGGTTCTACAAGCTGTTGAATTATAAGATGTAGTACTTCGTTTTTCATACATTCTTCGTTTTGGCTTTATTTTTGTGAGATAAATCATGGCATAGTGTAATATGTCATGTGTTGTTCATATGAGAGGTTGTACTTACCTCGTTTTCAGACCTGCTAAGGGCACATGGTAATACAATATTAAAACGATCTGTTGACTTATTTAATAAAAACGTGTTGTTTTTTTTAGTATTTGTAGTGGTAATGGTAATCGTAAGGAAGTAAAAAGTTCTTGTACAATACTGCATCACATGGGAGATTTTTTTCCCATTGTGCAGATGCCTAAAATTTCTGTGGGTCTTAGAGCTAAAACAAATATGTACATGTTTAATAAACATGTACTTGCCAGTTTGGGTCTAAAGTGGGGAAATGTTAGACAAGAGCATACAAGAGAAGAGAGGAGAACTGGCTATCTTACTTTAACACACCAGAGTTTTAAATTTTGTTTTCTTCCGGCCAGATCCACTATCAGAGTTGAGCTATGCTGGAGGGAAACAGCTGGAAGTGTTAGAGAACATGTCTTTAGAAACGATGGATCGCCCAGCTTTTTAGGTCTCTGCCTGTGGGAGCCAGTAGTTGAGAGTTCGATTCCCCGCTAGGCCTCCTTGACTGGAACTGGACTCAGTGGGTCCCTTTCAGCTCTGCAGCATCTAAGATTATCTATATTAAACTCTCATAAGAATACAATAAAGTAGGTGAAAGTGCCTGAGCTTTCTCCATTTCTTTATATACCGTACTTTTCCATGTATAAAATGCCCCCATGTATAAGAAAATTAAGAAATTTAAGTGGGGTTTAGCAAGTGTAGGGGAAAAGGGATCAAAGCGTTGCAGGATCGCTTTGATCCCTGCTTTCTCCCTTTGTGCTAAGCCTTGCAGGGCTCAGCAAAAGGAGGGGGGAAGGGATCAAAGCTGTCCTGCAACTACATGATTGTTTTGATCCCTTTCTGCAACTGCATGATCGTTTTGATCCCTTTCTTCCTTATATAGCCATGGGATTGCTTTGCTCCTTTCACCCTACCCTTGCTAAGCCCCATGGGACTTAGTAAGCAGAGGGGAAAGCAAGGATCAAAGCCATCCTGCAGCACTTTGATCCCTACTTTCCTTTTGCTAAGGCTTAGCAAGTAGAGGGGAAAGCAGGGATCAAAGCCCTGCAGGATCACTTCGATCCCTGCTTTCCCCTCCACTTGTTTTTTCTCTCCTCAACTTACTTTCATGTATAAGACGACCCTCAATTTTTAGTCTAAAGGTTTTAGACAAAAGTATAGTCTTATACATGGAAAAATATGGTAATCTGTTAAAAAAGAGAGACTGCTATGCCAGGTTTGACCATTAGTAACCAGAGGTATGTAATACCCGACTCCTGTACCTTTTGTAAGGGTTTTGGGAATACTGTTGGATTGCAGCTCCCATTGTCCTTTAACACTGGTTATGTTGGTCTGATAGAACTGGCAGTCCAGCAACGTCTAGTGCAGTATTTCCCCAGTTTGAGTCACCAGATGTTCTTGGATTAAAACTCCCAGAAGCCTTCCCCACGAGCTGAGCTGGCCAGGATTCCTGGGGGCTTGTAGTTCAAGGACACTTGGGGGGGGCAAGATGTTCCCTACCCTTGCTTTAGTGGTTTGTGCAAAAGAGGGAATCAGTGCTGTGCTACTCCTCCTGGACCAGATGTGTTGCTGATGAGAATGTAGTGGTCAGAGATGAAAGACTAGGCGCAGTGATGGATTGTGTGCTTGGGAAGAAAGGTGCTTTAAATTAATCAAGCAGTTAGCCATTTCATTTGCCAACAGTGGGGTGTTTTTGGTGTGTAGCTTCCCTTGCACTTCTTTGAAGCATGCAATTTCTCTCTTTTAATGCTGGACATCATTGCAGTTAATTGTATGGTTTCAAATGCATTCTTTGCCCTCCCTCTCCCTTTTCTTCCACCCCCCCCCCAAGGTGGCCCTTTCTATCAACAGACAGTAGTGGAAGGTTTAATGGGGTGTTTGAAATTGCTATAAAATTAATCTGCGATCAACACTGGGCAAGGTGCCCTGTGGTTCATAGCCCATGCTAATAGGCTTGTCATGGGGCCAGGAAACATTTGCAATTGGAGTGGGGACGCAGTTATTCGGAGCGTGATTGCAAAGAGTTTGGTCACCAGCGCCTCAAACACAAGGCGCCTGGTTGGGGAGTGTGCTTGCTCTGTTGCCACCTCTGCAGTCTTCAGGCTCTCCTGAGCTTCACTGTAGATAACAGCACGTTGTTTCCAAGAGATGTGGAGGCTCTCTTGCTGTTGGAAAAAGGTGTGAATCATGTACAAGTCGAAAAACACTTTATTGGATTCTAGTCTACCTAAAGCTAGTGTTTTTGAAAAGGCACTTCATCTAGAAAATATGCACATGTTGAAGTTTACAAGGCAACTTGGAGAAACAAAATGCACATTTGAAATACGCATGCACGTTAAAGTCTGCATACACAGCCTTATTTATTAAAGCCTTTAGAGGTTGAGTATTGGGGCATGCACAGGTTTTAGAGCAATGGTTATAATGACACTAATGCTACTAGTGTTTGGGCGTTTTAGTTTTGTGTTTTAAATTGTTTCATTATAAATAGTTTTAAACATCTTACGTTTTAAAATTGTTTTATACAGCTTTGTAACCCCATTCTGAAATCATGGTATATAGAGTGGGGTATAACTAACTAACTAACTAACTAACTAACTAACTAACTAACTAACTAACTAACTAACTAACTAACTAACTAACTAACTAACTAATAAATGAATAAATGAATAAATGAATGAATGAATGAATGAATGAATGAATAAATAAATAAATAAATAAATAAATAAATAAATAAATAAATAAATAAATTGTAGATAGCTAAAGTGTTTATGGTTGATAGTTATAAATAATGTGCAGAAATTCATCAGCTAGGTAAAATTCATATGTAATGCATGCATTAGTTAAAATTCATAAATAAATGTGCAAATTAGTCGAAATATACAGACATTATCATCTTATAACCACAAAGCTGGAAGGGACGCTGAATCTTGCAACCCAGTACAATACAAAAAAGGGGGAGAAAATGCAGCGGTGTTAGAATCAAATGTCAAGTGATTAATATGTACATGCCAGGCTTGACCCTTAGTAACCAGAGGTATGTAATACAGTACACGACTCCTGTACCTTTTGTGAGGGTTTTGAGAAACAGGAAAAAATTGAGATAGAAATGCTTACATTATGGAAAAGTCCTGCAACATATTTTTTATTCTCTGTTTATTTGCTATGTTTTTAATTTCATTCTTCCTACAGTGATTTCCCTGCTACATTAAATCATCAGCTGGTGGACTGCAGTGAAAACATACAACATATATGATGTTTAGTCTGGCCCACAGTATTGTTTTAACTGTATCCCTTGATTTTAATTATATTTTGCTTCATTTTAATGTTTTTACATGTGGTGGGTTAATATGATTATTATTTTTTAACTAAATGGGGTTTTATCTGTTTTTATTCTTCTAAAGATTTGTAAGCCATCTTGAGTGTTATATTTTAGTGGAACGGTAGGACTCAACTGAAATGGAATGAAATAATGAATGAATGAAGGCAGTCCAGGTTCTATAGTATATCCTACAACATCCTTGGACGTGTAATTTGAAGAGGGACGTAGAATTCCCTGCTATAGACAGGTCATGCACTCTGTTGGATGTGATGATAAAGTATCTCAACAAACAAGAAATCAGAGGATTCTGTAGGGTAGAGTCATGGTGGTTCAAGTGGCCGGAAGCTAGTATTACTCTACCACAGAGATTTGTTTTGTGTGATGGGGAAGTAGAGGTAAGAATTTATCTGGCTGTAAAGAAACCCCAACATCTATAATAAGCCAGTGTGTTTTTCACACAGGGGAACCATCTCGAGGGCATTCTCTGGTGCTGAGCTGTGGTCCCGACCCTCGTCCTGGCCAAGTGACATTAGAGCCAAACCAAACCCTGGAACTGGGCTGTAGTCCTGCTTCTGTGGAGCAGTTCCACAACGTTACCTGGAAGAAGAATGGTTTTCCACTAGCAGAAGAAGGCCACCTCCATGTCCTCCCCAATGGATCTTTGTTCATATCAAGAACCCAGCAGGCTTTGGAAGAGGGTGGTTATCCAGGAGAGTCCAATCTGGAGGGAAATTACTCCTGTGTCTTTCATGGTCCCTTTGGCTCAGTTGCTGGTCACACTGTTGTGGTTCGTGTGACAAGTGAGTATTTATTCTCTTGCATGAACGCTTGAGTCTGTTTTTTAAAGAGAAGTTGAAGAAACATCTGTAGTCCTCAATATGCAGGACATGACGACTTAACCTTATGGGCCTCCTCAGATTGGGGCCAGAACGCAGAAAGGAAATACTTAAAAACCCACTTTCAAGTTGTAATGTTGCTTCTGGACATGTGTATGCGTGTGTAAGGTGATGTAAAGTTTCAAAATTAGGGTCCTTCCTTAGTGCAGTAATAAATTTCATGTTGAACATCACTGCTAATTCTTCCTCAAATAAACTGAATTATGCAGTGAAAGAAAATACATGGAAAAGCAGGGATTCAAGTTACGAATGGCTCCATTCGCAAAAAGTTGCTTCGACTTGCGAACGGAGCCTTGACTTACGAATAATAAAAAAAGAAAAAACATTTTCTGCCCTTTTTTGATGTAAGTTCATCTTAGGTCAAAAGAATTTTTTTTAAAAAAATCTCCCCCTAGTGGTAGAGTAACCAGCTTTGCATGGGAACTAATGGCTCTACCTTCGAATAGCGCCTCAACATATGAACGAAAAACAGCAGGTACGGATTAAATGGTTTTCAATGCATTCCTATGGAAAAGTTTGCCTCGACTTACAAACTTTTTGACGTATGAACGCCGTTCCAATACAGATTACGTTCGTAAGTCGAGGTACCACTGTATTGCTTTTGGTACTGCAGGTGGTAGGCAGCTATGAATAGCTAACTAGTAGGTGTTGATGGCCCTAGACTCCATAAATTTATCTAACCCCCTTTTAAAACCAAGTTGGTAACCATCAACATAGAAGTCTCATTCCTTTCATCTTGATCTCTCTCCCTAAATGTTGGAGTTAAAGTACAGTGGTGCCTTGCACAGCGAGGTTAATCCGTTCCGGATTAACCCTCACTGTGTGAAACATCGCTGTACGGAAAGAAAAAAGCCATTAGAATGCATTAAACTAAGTTTAATGTGTTCCAATCGGCTGATTTACTCACCGTACAGCGATGTTCCTCTATGGCCAGCAGCCATTTTCGCGCCCTCCCCTCGCTTAACAAGGGTGTGAAAACACTGCGCGCGGCCATTTTGGGGCTTCTGCTGGCCATTTTGAAGCCGCGGAACAGCTGATCGGCGGGTCGCAAAGCGAAGGTCGGTAAGGGAACCGCTTACTGACCTTCGCTGTGTGATTTTCGCCCATTGGGGCCGTCGCTCTGCGATCGCATTAGCGATCGAAAAAACGTCCCCGTAGAGCGAATTCATCGCTCTACGGGGCGCTCGTTGTGCGAGGCACCACTGTACTAAAATAAATCTTCCTCCTCTTCCTTCTTCTTCTTCCTTCTCGACCGTCATACCACTCTTATCTTTTGATTGACATTTCTAGTCATATAAACAGTTTCACAGAAATCACCCTGCCTACCAGGTCATTCAAGACAGCTGATGGGTCAGTGGGCACTGCCCTCTCTGAGAGAGGTTGCCCAGTGAGAAAGAGGAACACCAACACAACCAAAGAGACTTTTGTCTCGGCTTGCATAGTCAAAATCCAACGATAGCCAAGAGGCTATGCCGAGAAGCCCCCTGGGAGGTTCTCTCTCCCTACCACCTCCGTTCATGAATTATTCTTAGAATCACAATCCCTTAAAGTAGCAATGGGTTCGTTTTTTAAATTTTGTTCAACTAGCCAGGAGAACATTGAGTTGGGAGAAGCTTGTCTACCACCTCTGACTCTGGCAGAGTGGGTATCTCACTACACACAGAAATGGACTATGCCCATTGAGGTGAGGTCCCCCCAATACGCAGTCCTTCCCTTTACACCCATCCTCTTTTCTGTAGTATTTAATATGCAAACTGTGGATCTTATTCACTCAGATATTAGCAAGTACTAATAAAACCACACCCATTATATTTCTATCTGCAATAGAAGACAGTAATGCAAGGGAAGGGAACTTCTGGCCTGCAGGCCTAATCCTGTCCATGCAGGTTCCACTCTGTGTCATGGGGAACCCTGCCTCATGACCAAGATAGTCCCCCCATGGCTCACTGCCTTTCCCAGTCAGGAAGAGGCGAGAGGTGTGCTAATGTTCAGTGGGAACTGTTCCATCTACTGCAGATCCTCGCCTGCAATGTATGTTTCGACTCTTGTGCATAGCAAAGCTGGCTTTCAACTGAGATAGAATTTACAGAACTGCTCCTGCCGTTACCACCTGGTCCACAATTTTTTTTTCCTGATCTAGATCTTCCCTTGCTAAAAGCGATTTTTTTGGGGGGGGGGTTATCCCTTTGCTAACCTTCTGAAACAAAAGGGCAATGTGGATGCTTATTATTCATTTGTGGTGCAAAAAAGAAAAGAAAAAAAGGCATGCCGTGAGCTGGAAGTGTTCCTGATGAGCTTTCCATCCTGATGCAGTCTTTGAATGAGAAGAGGAAAACATGCCTGTTGGGATGAATAAAGATCACCTGCTGGGTTGTTTTGGCTGTGAGTTCTTTGTGTGCTCCATTTAGCATTCTGTGTGAGTGAGCGCAGGACGGATCCAAGGGAAATACCTCTCACAGCAAATGGGGCGTAAGGCTGCCTTTCACCAGAGAAACTGTGTGCAGGCAGGCAGGATCATACCTCGTCCTGGATTGCAAGTGCTGTGGTCTGGCAATCTCCGGCTACTGCTGTGTAAGGACCCTAGTCAGCCACTGCAGTTTGGAGAGCCACAGGATTGGGGCGGAGAAGGGTAGCGGGGAAGGTAGCAAGACACCTGCCCTGTTTCTGTTACCTTCGGGTCCTCCTTGGATTTTTTTCCCACCCAGTGTTTACAAAAAAAGGAAGACTGGCCGGAATAGTTGTCGTCATAGAACAGGTAGCCGTGTTAGTCTGTGCAGTAGGTAAAAGCAAAATAGAAATTAAAAAAGAAAAATAAAGACAAAAAATGTGTTAGCCCTTTAAAGACTTCATCAGCCTGAAGTGGACTTGTCCACGAAAGCTCACATAAAAATAAAAAATAAAAGTTCATTTTTAAGGTGCCACTGTGTTTTCGTCTTTTTCTTTTAACTTTTTATTTCTATTTTGCTTTTACCTATAATGGCCATAATAGGGCAGAAATGAGGAGGGAGCACCCCCCAGGCTTGTGCACCCCCCCATGACCAGATTTTGACTAATCAATTGCCAGCTGTTTTCTGACTGATCAGATTATCAGGCCAAGATTCAGAACCAGGCTTCTTTGGTCCACGCTCCACACTCTTTTTATATACAAAACACAGTGGTGCCTCGACTTACGAAATTAATCCGTATTGGACCGGTGGCCATAACTCGAAAATTTCGTAAGTCAAAGCACCATTTCCCATAGGAATGCATTGAAAACCGATTAATCCGTTCTGGCCAATAAATAAATAAATAAATAAAAATCCCAGGTTTCCAAAGCTGCACCCACTGCCCTCTTCCTCCTGTCTCCTGCAGGGACAGGAGGCAGAGGGCAGCGGAGGGGGTTTGGACGCCCAGGAAGCTGGCACCCAGCGCGGAGGTCAGGGTGGTGTTGGAAACTCAGGAGGCTGAGCCTCCCTTTTCCTAACCGTTGGGGCGAAGAAGCAACCTCTTTGCCACCAATGGTTTGAATTCCCCGCCTTTTCTGTTTGTAACTGGAAGCTCCAGCCACAAGTCGAAGCAAAATTTTGCAGCCGGAGCTTTTCGTAACTCGAAATTTTCGTAAGTAGGGACGTTCGTAAGTCGAGACCCCTCTGGTATTGCCTGCTGGCACCCATGGCTATATGCCCATTGTGATAAGTAAGTAGCATGACTGGCACCTTTAGTGTTTTTCTTCTCGCTGGTTGTAGAACGTTCCTGGGATACCCCCATGAGTGTTGAGAAAAATCAGTAGAGGTATTTCTCCAGGAAAATAAATGGCAAGGAGCTAAAAATCTCTTCTTTCTCTTTGTTTCTCTGAGCTGCCTTTAATTGCCACCCTTTACCTCCTGACCCTCAGGTTTGTCTCAATTTTTGCAACACCCCAAGTCCCAGACTGTGGAGGAAAATGGCATGGCCCGCTTTGAGTGTCAGATTGAGGGGTTGCCCCCTCCCACCATCTCCTGGGAGAAGGATGGTGTAGCCTTACCTTCAGAACCCAGGTAAGTTTATTTTTTTTATCAATTACTATTATTTATTTAAAATATTTATACCCTGCCTTTCTCTTCAGGATGACCCAGGGGAGCTTACAATATTTAAAAAACAAATTATATAAAAATTGAAAGGGGAAGATAGAACAAAAACAGAACAAAGAAGGAATGCAAATGCGGATATGCCAGGGAGACTATATCAACTATAAGGCTTTAAGGATTAGCCCCAGGTTGTTTGCATTCCCCCATTCTGATATTTTGGTACATAGATGATTCCAGCACAGGTGATTGAAAGGTGATTCCAGGGACTGAATGTGCAAAGATTAAACCTGCTTCTAAAGGATGAATTCAGTAATAGCCTTTTGCTTAGTAATAGCCCTTGGTAGGCATCTGCTAAGTACACCAACCTGGTCATAGGACTGCAGCCCTTTTCAAATGCTAGCCCCTTGTTCTCTTTGCCTCCTCAGACCAATAGCCCAGGAGTGGTCGCTGGGCCTCCAGTCTTTGGCCCTCCACGCCGTTAGCTTCTCAGAAGCTCCAACCGACATGGCCGGTGGCACAGGATTCAGGGGTTGGTAGTCCTAAAGAACTGGAAAGCCAAGATTTCCCATCCTTCACTAGACCATTTTTGTTATGCATCTTTTCTCTGGGACTCTCTTCACCCCCTACGCTGTTTCTTTGCTCCTTGTGCTGTTTTTATTCGTTATATATCTCCTCAGCTTCCTCTCAGTCCCTCCCCCCCCAGTTGCGGGACAGTCTTGTTGAACTCAATATTTATTTATTTATTTGTTTGTTTATTTCCTGCTCCCATTAGTGCCAAGGCACCATTCTGCAGTAGCCACCTGAAAGACAAAATAGGGAGACTCAATATCACCTCAACTAAGACTGTGCTTTCAGTTTTAGCTTTTTATGATGTTATGCTGAAGGAATGTAAAAGATAGTAGTGAGTGTTTTTTCTTTTGTTTTTAAAAAATAATGGAATACGGTTTTTGTTTTGTTTTGTTTTGTTTAAAATAAAGTAATGGATACCAGCCCTGGGATATCTGGTGGTGTTGGACTATAACTCCCAGAAATCTTGAGACTTCGATGTAAACTTTTTCCTGTGTTAACTAAGTCTTTGGCAGTTACAATCCAAAAGCATTTATAGGGTCAAGGTTGGGATACTGAATATAAATCTCATTTTCCTTTCACCCTTTTCCTTTGGGGAAGGAAGAGTCCAGAATGACATGTGCCTTCTGCAGGAGAACATGCCAAAACCTGTTATTTATGAGAGTAAAACTCTCATTAACATTATTTTTTAAATGTCTTCTTTCAGCATCAAAATAAATTATTTTAAGGACACATTTGAATTATTTTAAATTAAATTATTTAAATTAAATAAATTTAAATTATTTTAAGGACACATTTATATTAACGTGTTATTTCCGAACTCTTGAGAATTACTTAGCCTGCTATGGCAAATCAGGTTCAGCGAAGCACTTTCTACCATCGGTTTCATCCAAACAGCATTCCGTGTGCCAGCCCTGGGTTCGACACAGAGCTGTAACTCACTTGCATCTTATGTGAGCTCCTGAAAGAACTGGGGACGACCAGGTTGAGTGTTGTTTCTTTCTTGTAAGGCAGGAGTGGACGGTCTTAGGAGACAGTTAGAATTAAGCTGTTGCTCCCGAAAATTTTATTTATTAGGTTTCTATCCCACTCACCTAGACGAAAGGTCTTATTCTGGGCGGTTTACAAATTTAAAAACCAGAAAAGGAACCGGGATGCGTCTCACCATGAGAATAAGGCGGCTCTGAGGTTTGTATTGTGGCAGGCTGAACAACAAAATGGCTCTGAAACAGGAATTCTGAAGGAGAGGCTGGTTGCCAGCTAAAGAGGGCTGGTCAGGAAATATATGGAAACTTAGGCAATGATTGAAGCATACAGTATTTTAGATGTGAGTACTCTCATTATGACAGCATGCTGGGTATATTATGAAATTGGCTTCTCAGAGGCTTTGGAATGACTCTTGTGCAATGGCCCAGTCACAATCAGATCTTGATTCTAAATTCAGGCTGCGACTCTATACTTGTGTGAGGAAGTAAATCACGTTGAACTCAAGGGGACCTTTGAGCAGGTACGTATGGGATCCTAGTATTACAGCTGAAGAAAGATGTTTGTGTGTGTTGACTATGTTGGCGTGTTTATAGAGATGTGTTGCAGATGTTCTTGTAGGACTGATTTGCTTCATTTGATGAAGTAGTAGAGCCCTATAGGGGAAGAAAATACGAATTAATTTTTTGAGAGGGTGAGCAGGGAAAATTATTGTTTTCTTAAGTCTTGAGTCTTAAGCTCCGGGGTCATCCGATCAAACTGATTCATAGTAGATAGCGCTGTGTATACTGTATGCTCATAGAAGGGTAGTGTGTTGTGATCTGTATACATTAAGTAGAAATTTGCTTAATTCCTCCTGTTTGTTCAATTTAGTTCAGTAACTCTTCTTACTACTTCATCCTACTTCTGATAATGATAGTGAAGACTACACAGGCTCTTTCTCCTGAACACTGAAAATACTGTTCTCCAACACTTCTTGCCATTACATTTCAGTTGTCATTACCCACACACTGTCAAACAAAGTCCAAGATCCTGCTGCACAATTACATGTGTGCAACGTGAGGTTGTACCTATGGTAGTTGTGTTACAGCCAAGATGGAAGTAACACAAAGCATTTCCACTGTTGCAGCACAGAATATGGTAGTTGTGTTACAGCCAAGATGGAAGTGTGATCCCCAAAACATTTCCACTGTTGCAGCACAGAATTAGTTGTGCTGGGGATCTGTGACCAGTTGTACAATTGGGTGGTATAATTCCTTGTTGCTGGGCTTCACACACCCCACATTTATGCTGGCATAGCTATATGTTACTTTGGCATGAACCGGATACTGGTAGAAGCGTTCTTATGTTACTTTGGCATGAACCGGATACTGGCTAAGAAGGGCTGGAAGCATTCCCCCTGCTTCTTTCTCTTTTATCCTCAGGGAGCTGAGTTCTATGGCCACAGAATTGCAAAATACTCACATGTTTCGTGTTGTGTTTTGAACAAATGGAAATAAAATTTCTTCATGCGCCTTGTATTATTCAGCAGGCCAGCTATGCCTGGTGTAAATGCCTTAAAGCTGGGCGTATCTGCTGGTTATTATTATCAACAACAATCTAGAAATTCAAGCCCCTTGTTCCTACTTCTAAGGTGCCCTCCTGTTTGTAGAGTCCCTGGATATTTTGCTTCTTGCAGTCTTCAGGGCCAGTTTGGTCACTCAGATTTATTTCTGTAACAATTCCATAGTTAATTGAAGCCTGAATGTGCAAATGGCCCACCATATTTCGAACTGTTCTGTGACTCCAGATGTATTATCAGCGTTGGAGGATAATACCTTTATTGGACCACTATAATACGTGTTTTGACACTGGCAACCTTTCAGGTCTTCCATCACTATTATAGACTTGGGGTGACGTGACCTTAATAGGGCTTCCAAGGTACGTGAGATATTTGAAGAGTGGTTTCACCACTTCCGCACCTTCTTGGTAAGTCGTGGCGCAGTGGTTAAACTGCTGTACTGCAGCCAAAACTGTGCTCACGACCTGGGGTTCAAATCCCAGATAGCCGGCTCAAGGTTGACTCAGCCTTCTATCCTTCCGAGGTCGGTAAAATGAGTACCCAGTTTGCTGGGGGGAGGCAATGTGTAGCCTGCATAATTAACTTGTAAACTGTAAACCGCCCAGAGAGTGCTTGAAGTGCTATGGGGCAGTATATAAGCAGCACGCTTTGCTTTGCTTTGCTTTTAGTGGAGATTCAAACCCTATTCTCCAGAGTACTAGTTCATCACACAGGGTACACCACACTGGGTAGGAAGACAGAAAGCCACAAAATCTAAAGTCACTTAATATTTCAAAATGGAGATTAAAAGTTGAAGCATCAGCTTGAATTGTGGTGATACGAGGTTTCATCTCGGGAGATGCAGAATTAAGTGTCTCCATCTCTGATTTTGGATTCAGCTCAAGAACTATACAGTCAGTAATGCATGTCTTCGATGCCCTGAGACTTTGTGCTGAGCTATGGACCGATGGAAATCTTGGCCCAGTCTGGCATGGCACTTAAGATTCCCTCGTGTCCTTTGGTTTCCCTAGGTTTATTGTTCTCCCAAATGGTGCCCTCCAAATCATAGATGTGAAGGAAAGCGATGCTGGGGTGTACCGTTGTGTGGCAGCCAACACGGCCGGGAAACGCTACAGCTCTGGTGCCATTCTCAGCCTTTGGAAAGGTAAGGTTTTCCAGCTGTATTTTGCATATTCATATTGCCTGATGTTTTCCTTTTCCTACCTGGATAATTTGTTTTATGGTGATAACAGTTATGGCCCTGTTGGAGATAAGAGAGCAAAGTGCCGCCTCGGGTTTCAGGTGCTGAATATTTTCAGGGTCACACTTTCATGATTTTCTTTGGTGCAGTGAAGTGGCCACATCCGCCGTTCTAATTTTGGTGGCCAAGTTACTCTCGGTAAGCTTCATTTGATCACACAATGCAGTACAAGAGTAATAGCAGTGACTTACTTTTTGCAAGGGGGAGGGAGATAACATGTGTGGAATGCTTTGAATTGTTCTGAAGAGCAATGAAAATGTTACATAGTATTATTAATTCATTAATTCATTTCTGAGATTTATATACTGCCCCATTAGTGCAAGGTACTATTCTGGGTGCTGTACATATAAAAACCAGAACAGCAAAATGAACAAAAAATACAGTGCCATCAAATTATGTCACATTTGACAAATGAGCAAACTATCCAAGCTCTTTATTTATTTATTTATTTATTTATTGGACTTATATACCGCCCCATAGCGCTACAAGCACTCTCCGGGCGGTTTACAATTTTAATTATACAGGCTACACATTGCCCACCCCAGCAAGCTGGGTACTCATTTTACTGACCTCGGAAGCACAGAAGGCTGAGTCAACCTTGAGCCGGCTACCTGGGATTTGAACCTCAGGTCGTGAGCACAGTTTTAGCTGCAGTACAGCGTTTTAACCACTGCGCCACGAGGCTCTTTACCCCTCGGGAGTTTACAAAATTCCAATCAACGGTGGAAAAGGCACTGAAAGGCAGGGAGGAAGAGATCTGGGTAGCATTAAATTAATGCGGCAGATTTAACCTCAGCCCAAGGATTTGAAGTTTTTAAAAAAATCTCTTTGAGGGGCTTAGAATGCTCCATGAGCCTAAGTCAGGGGTGATAAGAATGTAGTATATACTGATTAGTAAATGGTTTGTATCCTGTGTTTTTAAACCACAAGATATGCTGTGCTTACAGGGTTTTCCTTTGGAGGTGGCTGTATTATTCTTTAAATGCCATTGTGAATTCAGCGAAATTCTTGCGGTGCTCATACATCAGCTTGGAGTATAATAAGCAGTAGGTTCTAGGAACACACCTTTGATTGATCCAATTACATTAGGGAAGCAATTTGGGTTGAATCTACAGACATTCATTACCTCTAATTATGAGTCAGCTTCACTGGGTGCTTGCTGGCATCGAAGAACAGCATACTCAGCCTGATGTGTTATTAAAGAGACAATTATGGGCTGCAATGTGCTTTGCTGGCTCCCTGTCCATTTCTAGGTACAATTCAGAGGGTTGGTGATGAGATGACCTAGGATGCCGTGTATGGCTTGGGTCCAGGTTGTCTGAAGGGCTGTCTCCTCCCATCTCAATTTATCCCCGGCTTTTAAGATCTTCTGGGGAAGCCCTTTCTGTTCATCCCACAGACACGAAAGTGGTGCTTTTAGGGGCTGCTCCTAGGTGGTGGGAGGCACCCTTGCTGGAGGCTAGGTTGGCTCCCCCCCTCTTGTCTTTCCACCATTATGCCAAGACTTTCCTTTTTAGACAAGTTTTGTTGATTAAGACAAAAGGGGGATTCTGTGTTTACTGAGTTGAGCTGAGCAATTTCTCAAGTGTTTTTAAATGGCCATTTTTAACATTGCTGTTTGTTTTTAAATATTTTGGCTTTTTTGTTTTTAACCGTGTTCATTATTATGTTGTTTTAACTGATTTGTGACTTGCCTTGATTGCAAAAAGCGATTGCAAAAACTTAATCGTTAAGCGATTTCCTCATCTAACGAGGTAATCGTCAAGCGGGGCACCACTGTAAATGAATTAGGGTTGTTATGTAGGTGGTACTGCAAAGCAGCAAAGATTAGGCTGGGAAAGTTAGGTTTATTTGGATTGCATTTCCATCATTCCCAAGCCAGTGTGGCTACTAGCCATGCGGTCCATAGGACTCCTAAGACTTGTATTTCGAAATTTAGGATTTGGCCCCCGCTTCCAGCCTCCCTGGTTTAAGTCTCCCTAGCAGCTCCCCTTTTGCATTCCTCTTTTAATATATTATCTACCAATACACTCCCATCTTTTTGCTTTCAAGGGACACATTCAGCATTTGCTTCTGTCCTAAATGAAAGCCTCCCCCCCAAAAAAAATACATGTTGGCTCTGCCGCCTCAGGGGACTGTCCTTGTCCATCCGTTTGTGGCTTCTGGTGAGTAGCGACAACCTTTCCCTTTAAGAAGCCTGATGAATGAAGTCTTTGTCAGACCTCTTTCAATCTGCTTGGCTTGTGGTTGTGCTGCTGTCGATCTCTTCCAGTTGTTTTACTGGAAAACCGGCAAGCTTCCTGTGTCTGAACAGTTTTTGCCTCATACGAACAATTTAAAAAACCCAGAATTGTTGTGCTAACTGTGGAATACATGCAGCAGCCGTGTCTAATGATGATTGGCAGTTGGGTCAGCTGCCACACCAGGGGTTGAAAAAGTTACTTTTCTGGACTACAGCGTCGCCAGTCCCTAAGCGTGCATGGCTGCTCCAAGCAGCTGCAGCAAAGGAGGAGGAAAAAGAGGAGGATTTGTTGAGTTTTAGAGAAACAAATGTTATGTCAGAGATGGTTATTATTTGGAACCCTTGTAACAGTTCACAAGCTATATAGACTTTTTAAATAACTCAACAAAGAAACAAATACTAAAGGTTTTCCTTGGAACATGGTTTACAAACTCCTGTTTTAAACAGTTGCCAACCCATATTTCTATTTTCTGAGGAGAATAAATCTCTCATTACCCCTCGCCCAAGAAGCAGTCAGAAGGCAGCCAAACTGGGCTGTGTGGGTGACAGAACTCATCTGTAGAGGATGAATACTTTTGTTTGGCTTTCTTTTCTTTTCTTTCTGTTTTTTAAACAAGGGGGCTCCTGAGATCCTTGACATCTTGACATCTCTGGCAGGTGGCTGATCCCTTTGTTTGCTTCTTTATTTCCAAAGCGGTCAGGGGCAGCAAGCGGCATGTGGTGGGAAAACCATTTTTGTTGTAAACGTTAAACAAGGCAAAAATTTAAAAAAACCCCTTTAGCTTTGAGGAAGTGGCTGAGATTTGGCAGAGGTTTTGCATATATGGGGATTAGGGGCTTCATTGCCAGTAACGAACTTGTCTCCTTCCCACACTGTTCAAGTGATGTCAGAAATAAGACCGGCCCTACCATTAGGAAGAGTGGACCAACTCTCTCAGGCAGCAGCTGAGGGGGGGGGACAGCGGTCGGAGTCGCACTGCCCTGTCCTCCTGTACATCCGGATCGTTCCTTCCTGGCCGGAGTTCAGCGATAGGTCTGCCCTACAGCCTGCGCCTCCCCACTCTTCAGCCGTCCGCCATCATGCATTGTGGAGGACGTGGTTCCTTTACCATGTGTGCCTGTGGAAGGACAGCGGCAGGAAAAGGGACCTTGTCCTCTGCCTCAGGCAGCAGGATTTCCTGGGCTGCAAAACTGGAAAAACCGCTCAGTGCGTTCCAATGGGCGAAATACCTCAGCGTCTACCGATGATATTCCATAGGGCGGCCATTTTCTGGTGCCTGTAATACGAGGAATCCGTCCTAAGCAGAGCGGGGAACGTTTTTAAACAGCGGGCAGCCATTGGGAGAGGCCAGTGACACAGTTTCGCCCCATGTGACGGTTAGCAGTTCTGGCTGGGGCACTTTGATGGTTATAGTGCAAATCTGCAGCTTTCCCTAACGCTGTTCACAACCGTACTTCATCCCAGTGGTACTTACTTTAATCTGAGAAGCCCTTAGCTTTAACCATTGAGCTGAATGGTTGTCAAGAGAAACTACGAGTGTCCCACTTTATGTCTGCTTTGAGGTATTGGCCCTCAAATGGAGTAGATTTCGACAGGGAGTCCCTGCTCTCTCTGTTTTTTTTTTCAGTGCCTTCTTTTAAATATTTTTTGGGGGGGGACAGATTGATGGGTAAAGTTGACTGATGGTTCTCTCTGGTTGGAAGCTCTTTTAAAGCACAGCGAGTCTCCTTCGAAGGTCAGGGAGAGAGGCGTTTGCTTAGCTTGTCGGTAGCAAGGAAAGGGGGTAGCAATGGCCACTGGGGTTGTTGTTGGGAGAGCGGCAGATGTTTCAGGCTGGGCAGACTTCATGGTGTAAATTTCCAGACGCTCCTTGGGGAGCTGCATTCCAAACTGGAACAAGGATCTGGGGCTTTTTACAAGCAGATCTTTTTCAGAGTCCTGAAATGGAGAACTTGTCACATGGAGGAAATACTGTGATAAGAAGAGCCAGACTGGGCCCTTTAGTTCCCCTTCCAGGCCGGCTTCCTGTTCCCACTCTTTTTTCCCCCATGCCTGTGATGCAAAACACAGCTCAGCTAGCCTCCAGGAGACTCTCCCCTGTGAACCATAGATCTTAATGCTGGCGCATGCTTGTTGTGGGCTCTGTAGCATGTGCTGGCATATACTGTATGTCTACAGAGTATGGATTGTGAGGCAGAGCATAGCTTTGTAAGAATCTCAGCATTCACTGTAATGTTTTAAAGTCAAGTTTCTAGCCCTCATTGCTAAGAACATATACACTTGGGGATTTCTGAAATGCGCTTGGGTAAGATTTTACACTCTTCGCTGTGCGAAACGATTGCTTTGCCCGCCTGTTCACAGAAGGAGACTTGTTTGTTTGTTAAAATTGCTCAGTGTTACAGAATGAAGTAAGAGAAAGTAGGAAAGCATATTTAATTTGCATCACTCAGAAGTGTCTTTGCACCTGCCACGTGCCCTGAAAGCTTTTGTAATTTTTTTAAAAAAGGTCTTTTTAGCAAAACAAGATTTGGATGGGGTGGGGTTTGGCAGGACACAGGAGCAGATGTGGCCCTCCAGTGTACACCCGTCTGAAGGTTGGGCATCTCATGAGAGGAAGAAACTTAGAAAGACCAGAAAGCTGAGTTCCTGTGGGTAAGATTA